TATTAATCGTCCTATTATAAAGATGCATGGACATGTACGTTCATTGAAGCACTGTTTACAATAGCAAAGACCTGGAACCAACCCAAATGCCCATCAATGATAGACTGGACAAGGAAAATGTGGCACATATACACCATGGAATACTACGCAGCCATAAAAAACGATGAGTTGTGTCCTTTGTAGGGACATTGATGAATCTGGAAATCATCATTCTCAGCAAACTGCCACAAGAACAGAAAATCAAACACTACATGTTTTCACTCACAGGCAGGTGTCGAACAATGAGAACACATGGACACAGGGAGGGGAGCAGCACATGCTGGGGTATGTTGGGGGGCACTAGGGTAGGGACAGTGGGAGGTAGGGAGGTTGGGGAGGGATATTATGGGGAGAAATGGCAGATATAGGTGACAGGGGGATGGAGGCAGCAAACCATATTGCCATATATGTACCTATGCAACAATCCTGCATGATCTGCATATGTACCTCAGAACCTAAAATACAATTTTGTGTGTGTGTGTGTGTGTGTGTGTGTGTGTGTGTAAATTTAAAAAAATAATGAGTTCATTCATTGCAGGGTCTGTATCTTTTCCAAGAGATACAAAATTATGTCCAGAAGCAAGTAGATTTTAGATAAATATCCACTTCTAAACTCAATGTTATTCCAACAGCAACAAAAAAAAGTTCATAAGCAGGCAAAATTAAGCTATATTGCTTAGGGATGTGTCAATAACTCACAAAACTACAAAAAAAGGCAAGGTAATGATTATCCTAATAATCTTGAAAATGATATCCTTTAAGGGGAAAGAAGGTTGATTGGAGACGGCTACACTGGCAACCTCAAGTGCTAGCAATGTCCTATCTCTTGATCTCTGTGAAGATTACATGAGTGTTCACTTTGTAATAAATATGTTAAAATGCACATACTCTGTGATGGGTAATATTAGGATTGAAGGATGCAAAGTATTTGTTCCTGGTTTATCTGGGTGCTGCCAGAAGAGATTAACATTTGAGTCAGTGGACTGGGAGAGGAAGACACACCCACAATGTGGGTGGGCACAATCCAACTGACTGCCTGCGCAGCTAGAAAAAAACAGACAGAAGAAGGTGGAAGGAGCTGACTTGCTGAGTCTTCCGGTCTTCATCTTTCTTCTGTGTTGGATACTTCCTGCCCTTGAACAACAGACTCAAGTTCTTCAGTTTCTGGAGTCTTAGACTTACAGCAGTGGTTTGCCAGGGGATCTTGGGCCTTAGGCCACAGACTGAAGGCTGCACTATTGGCTTCCCTACTTGTGATGTTTTGGGACTCGGACTTGCTCCTCAGCTTGCAGATGGCTTATTGTGGGACTTCACCTTGTGATCGTGTGAGTCCATACCCCTTAATAAACTCCCCTTCATGTATACATCTATCCTGTTAGTTCTGTCCCTCTAGAGAACCCTAATACATACTGTATGCACTTTTAAGCACGTATGCTATATTTTATACATGCAAATAAAGGGTAAGAAAAACTGTAAAACACAGCTTATTCTACCTAATTCTTTTCCTTTGAATTTGTCTTGTTCTTGGGGTATTCATTATTTCTTTGCTCATAGGAAAGTCTAGACAAATTTGCCACAGTATCACTCATGTTGAGGGTCTCCTACAGATTTCCTCAGTTATAGGATAATGAAATCATAAAACTTTCTTCAAAATGTCATCTCTAAAGCAGATAAAAGGTATTCTAGAAGCTGTTAAAAGAAATATCCCAACCAAAAGAGTTTGTAAAGAGGTATTAATGCAAAATGAGGCCAAGTTCAGTAAAAATGTCAGCAAACAGAGGAGTTACAGCAATCAAAGAAAACTTACTTAAAAAGATAATTAATAATCTTAATAGGATTTAAATAAAACCAAACAAACCAACCCACAAAACTTTATGCCAGCCTTGTGTTGCCCCACTTTTCTTTGAATCCTTGCTGTTATAGGGATATTTAGGTCCTTCTTTAATTGAACCAGAAAAAACTCAGAGAGCTGAAATAAGATAAATAATGAATTCTCTAGCCACTGTGCAAGAAAAGCAAGTAGGGAAGGAAAGAGTGGAAAGGCAGGGAGAAAGAGAATTTAAGGCAACTACATGCTAATCATAAGCCATCATGAAGGGTTTCTAAATACAAGATAAAAACTAATGATGGTAAGAGAGATGCTAAGTTATGCCTTAGTCATGGTGATAGACTACTATTTATTTTAGAATACTACTAAAAAAGTAAAGTTAAAAAAAGTATAGAGAGTTACTGACTATAATCACAATTATGTACAACTATGTATAAAAAATGGAAAGGGTATTGGGAGTATAAATGGCATTCTTATCATTTTTACTTTCTGTGTTTTCTAAATTTTATCTATTAAGCATTTATTATTTTTATAATAAAAATAATTTATTTGAAAACAAGATTGTGCTGTCAGCTTGCTCTAAAAATAGTCTAAAATTAATGTCTTGCTAATGTCTTTTGAATTTGTTATTGTTATTTGTATAATTACAAAAAGGACTTGAGACAGTTTACCAAAAACTAAAAAAACAAACAAACAAAAACACCAACCAGAAATGGTCAAACACAGCAAATTCACTAAAAAGAGGATAGAAAAACAAGTACTAAGCAACAAGAAGAGCAAAGAATACAAGAATTGAATATCTAGGTTAAAGAATGTATCATAAAACTTAACTCAAAACCAAGGGAAGATGACTGTTTCCACAGCTTTCAAAATTTAAAGAATCAAAGAGACTTTGCTCTTATTTAGGTTTAGATATTGTGACCAGTTTCTTTTAATATAAAAGGAAATGAATAGTACACCAGCTTTGGTAATGATATTACATATGCCGATAAAAGCTATTGTGTAGATTATTCAAAATTAAGTTAGCTAAATATTGGTAAAGGCTTCTAGGAAAAAACATGCAACAGCTTCACAACCTAGAAAAAAATCACACAAGATTTCTAATAGAAGAAACAAACACACCAAAAAAAAGTGTCAACATCATTAGCCATCATGGAAATGTCATTGTGGCATCAACCAGAATGGCTAAAATTAAAAAGACAGGCTAGGCACAGTGGCTCATGCCTGTAATCCTAACACTTTGGGAAGTCAAGAAGATGCGTGAACTGCTCAAGCCCAGGTGCTCGAGACCAGACTGGGCAACACGGTGAAACCCTATCACTGCAAAAAATACAAAATTAGCTGGGAGTGGCAGCGCATGCCTGTAGTTCCAGCTACTTGGGAGGCGGAGGTAGGTGAGAGGTAGGGTTGAGGCTGAGACAAGGGAGGTTGAGGCTGCAGTGAGCCATGATCATGGGTCTGGCTGGTAGCCTGAGTAACAGAGTGAGATTCTGTATCAAAAAAAAAAAAAAAAAAAAAAAAAAAAAAAGAAAAGAAAAAGATAGACAATAATAAATGTTGGAGTATAGGCCAGGTATGGTGGCTCAGCCTATCATCCCAGAACTTTGGGAGGCCGAGGGAGGTGGATTGCCTGAGCTCAGGAGCTTTAAACCAGCCTGGGTAACACGGCAAATCCCTGTCTCTACAAAAAAATACAAAAATTAGCCAGGCATGGTGATGTGTGCCTATAGTCCCACCTACTCAGGAGGCTGTGGTGGGAAGATGGCTTGAGCCTGGGAGGTAGCGAATGCAGTGAGTGGAGATGGTGCCACTGTACTGTAGCTTGGGTGATAGAGCTAGACCTTGTCTCAAAATGAACGAATGAGTGTTGGAGAGTGGGGAGACCACCCGTAAAATACTGGTGAACATACGAAATGGTAGAACCACTTTAGAAACTGGCACTTTCTTAAAATGTTAAACATACATCTACCCGGTGACTCAGCAATTCTACTCCTAAGATAAATTAAACCATATAACCACCAAAAGCAGTATTCAGTAAAAAATAATAACTAAAAACTGGAAACTGTATTGGTACCCATTGATAGAAGAATGAATAAACAGACTATCATCCACTGATATGCTGCAATGGAGTACTACTTAAAATGCACTGGTATACATAACAATGTGGAAAAATTTCAAAAACATTAAGCCAGACACGCAAAAAAATTCTGTATGATTCCACTTATATGAAGTTCTAGAATAGGCCAAAACTGATTTCTGGTAATAGAATCGAGATCAATAGTTGCTTCTGTAGGGAATGGGGTACAGTGATTAACTGGAAGGGAATATGAAGTAACTTTCTTGGGTGACAGAAACACTGTGCATGAATAGAGTGTGGGTTATACAAACATATGCATTTGTCAAAACTGATCAAACTGTACCCTTAAGAGCTGAGAATTTCAGAGTATCTAAATTATCCTTTAATTTAAAAAACGGAGTTAGCTTAATAGTTGATAACTTTTAGTTGCTAAGTACTGCTTACTAAAAGAAGACACATCTTTTAGATTTGACATTTGTGGAGACAAGGCTAGTGTTTTGTAACAAATCTTAAATAATGTAACATATTCTTACTCCTGTAAAGAAGACTTCAGCAGGCATTGCTTGATTTTTTTCTCAGAAACCATCATTCTTTTCAAACACTTTCACAGAAACTGAAGTCCAAAGCCCAGAACTACAGATTTACATACTGTGAGACATGAAAATGTAATCTTGGTCTATGTGGGGGAAAGGAAGGCTCATTAATGTCTCAACTGCTCATTAATGTCTTTTATTCAAAGAGCTGTACTTTCAACAAAGTTGTGAATTAGTGAAGAATCTCTAAAGACCTTGATTCAGATGAAGCTCATGTAAAAAGCTGTGTAGTTTGACTCAAACGCATGGTCAAGGCATCACAGTCATGGCTGTATATTTAAATCACAAATTCAGATGATAAGCCTAAATTATTAAGTAATAGCAAATAAAAATACCTAGTATCTTGGGTTGTGGAAAATGGAAATGGAGAAAAACGTGTATTTCTATTTATAATCACACTTCAGATCATGTAACACAATCAAAGTACATTAGTAAAGAATGCATTTGGTGCTGTTAAACTTACTTGATTATTGGAGGCAATGAATCAAGTCTAGTCTCCGGGCTCCAAGCTATGCCATCAACCCTGACTCCATGGTGAAATGTTCGAAGTGTTTTATACTGAATGCCTTCAACGTCTGCTTCCTCTTCCTAAGCACAGTAAATATTTTAGTAAGTTATGAAAACAAACAGTATTATTTCATTAAAATGAATTCATCAGGAGGCTATGTTTATGCTTTTGAAAAATTCTGAGATTTAATTAGTTCATTGAATTAAAAAAAATCCAAACTTACCTTAGCCTCACAAAATAACTCTCTAAGGCAACTAGAAATAAATGATAAACATGTCCTACTTTATCTTAGAAGGCATTTCATAACAAATTCAATGAAAATGGACTGCTTGTTGGGGTGTGGTGGCTCACATCTATAATCTCAGTATTTTGGGGGACTGAGGTGGAAGGACTGCTTAAGCTCAGGAGCTTGAGCCTGGGCAACATAGTGAGACCTGTCTCTACATCATAAAAAAAGAAAAGAAAGAAAATAGAATGTGCTAAAGCATCAAAATATTCTAGTAAATGAATTACCAGAACTGGATTATCTACTGACAGTATTAAAAATATATACTGAACATTTTGATTAAATGGAAAATACTTTGGGCCCTTATGATGCCTCTAAGTCTTTATAATCAGTGTCACGTATAATGATCTTTATGTAGCATTACATGGGGCATTATATGTGTGTAAGATGCTGCAAATAATTCATCTAGACTATTATAGTCTATGAATAGTGAATATGTAAGAAATAATCTGGTTAATTTAGTTTTAGATATTTTATTCTGGGAATAAATGCTTAATAAAGTTGGCTTATTTATCTAGTTCAGCTCTACAAAAATGATATCAGTTTATCCTCATGGGAAGGTGAGAAAAAAAATCAACTTTAAAAGTCAAGGCATCTAGCACTGTAAATGGGGACAATAACCTGAAAAGCTTTCCCATTACAACATTGCAAAAATCCAAATACAAACAAGCAAATGAGTACCAAGAAATGCAGCTGTTATAAATGCATCTGCCCACATGCAACAATTTAAAGCTTCAGTTTGTAAAAAAAAGGAGACAAATCCTAGTGCCTGCACAAGGAAGGATGACAGATGAGAGATCTCTGTATAGATCCAGGGCCCTTAAGGGGGAAGCAGGGAAAAAACCAAACAGAAAACCCTGCCATGCAAAATACCTACCATGAGTAAGGGAAGGATACTGAGCGGGCCTGAAAAGAACTGCTAATGTTCCATTTCTTAAACTAGGTAGCAGGTATATAGGGATCCATCTTATTATTCTTTAAGCCTTCATGGATAACATATATTTTATATGCATTAAAATACTGCCCAGAACAATAGGAAAGGTAAAAAAAGAAAAATCATAAAAAATGTTTGCAATTTTAAAAATAAGTAAATAATCATTGTTATTTAAATCAGTATCTGAACTGGGTCTAGAGACTAAAGCAAAATTTTCATGATAAATGTGTCCGAAGAATCTTGTGTATTAACCACAGTTTTTTTTTTTTTTTTAATAAAAGTGTATGAGATTATAAAATACCAGGAAAAAAAATCCAGCAGGTGAAACTTGGTATTTAATGAAATACGTATGTCTATATTGATAGGAATGGCCTGATCTAAGAATTCCATTCACCCAGAATCTAAATGCAAAGTTTTATAATGTATACTCAAATGAAATCCAAGTGGATATGCTGATTTTTCTACAATAGCCTTTGAGATCCTAGTAAAGTCATTCTACAAATATATTACTCATCTTTCTCAATATAATTCAAATACCCTTTGAAAATAACTTTAAATTTCAGGTGAACTTAGAGTTAACAGTGAAAAGGTTTTCCATAAATGAAATAATAGAAATACACTTATTAAGGAAAGAAAAACACTGTCAAATTTTATTACTTTGTAATTTGTGTGTATAATAGTTGTACAGCTAACAGCCAGACATGCCAAAGCAGCAGCCACTAAGCAATTTTAAAATAAGTTTAGGAGCCTAATCATAGCTGATGTCGTAGTTTGGGTTATATCTATTTTTCCCAACTTGACAAATCAGTCTCTTAAAAATGAAGTTTTTACATGAAAATACACATCATCTTACTACTGAAACAATATTGTTAATCAGGTCCTATAATTTGTTACCCAAATTACATATGGAATTACTGGATAGTCATGGGGATAAAGAAATCCCAGGGATTATACAGTTTGAGTTTTTTATATTACCAGTGAAACATTTTTTTCCTGGCAGCACTGTTTGCCACTGAGCCAACTAAAAGGCCAGGGTGTGTGTGTGATATAGGCAGAGACAAATGTTATTTTGGATTTAGTTTGGGTGTAAGCAGGAATGGTATAGGCAGGAAATTAAGACACTTTGGAAAACTTACTATAATACAAATGATTATACAAGGCTTCAGCATATTTGAGGTTGGGGTAAAGCCAGGTTGATGGAAGGGTTATTATAAGAGTTTGAAACTGGCAGGCCCTCCTACCACACCCATTTAAGGCCAAACACAGAATTTCAGTTAGTCAAGACTGTGAAGTTTCTCTAGTTCAATTCTTTCCCCTAATGCTTGAATCCCTAGGAGAGCATCTGATAAAAAGAGTTTATACAACCCCTCTCTGAACACTTCCAGTGAGAGGGAACTAGCTACTTCTATGGTAGTCACCAGCCAATTATTCAATTGGGGGATAGCTCGAATTATTAGAAGAGTTCTTAACCTTAAGCCAAAATTTGTTTCCATGTAAATTCTATTCATTGCTCCATGTTCCATCTCTGGAACCCTACTAAGTCAGTCTAATTGAATGATGGCAAATATCTGGCCATAGTTATCTTCCGTAGGTGAATACACACTGAGCAGCAGATTCAGCCTCAGCCTGAAAGCATTATAAGCAACAACTCTGTTCATTCAAATAGAGGTAACAACATAAAATCTGTGAAAGACTAATACCTCTTTCACAGTTTTAAACATTTAGACACTACTCTGAAATTTATATTAAAATATATTATATCCTCTGAATCCTAATATACTGCTGAGAACTAAAGAGTATTATTATTATATTAAAGATTATTGCCAATTTACAGAGGACGATACAGAGAGAACTGTGCTGTCTGATATGGTAGCCACACAGGACCTTATGAAGCATGTGAAATGGGGCTAGTTCTATTTGATACGTGCACACTTTAAAAAGTGTAAAATACATACAAGATTTCTAAGTCTATTCAAAGGGTCTTCATTAGTGAATTGAGGCCCCTAGTAAAGCTTGCATGAGAACACTGATTTAGGCAAGCACCTATGTTCATGCTTCTCTTAACAAAGGTTTTTATAACATTTTTCTCATTGTACTGCTTTATATTTAAAATCTCCTTAAGGACATGGTCCATACTTTTTTCACTTCTTAGCACCCAGTATGCACTTAATGAATATTTGACAAATACATGACACCAGTTAACAGCACTACCATTTAGAAGCTCATATTTCCATCATAATCAAAAGGACAGCATGAGATTCTGAAAAATGCTTTGTTGATATTCAAATTCACTGTATCTACAACATTTTCTAAATAGCCTTAAAATAAGGATTGTCTTTCTGACAGGAATGTGGAAATCTTTCCACTTAATTTATCTTTACTTAGTTTTCTCTCAAGACAAGAGGCATGAAATTGGGTGCAATGGAACTTGAACTTCTAGGACAAGAGAACAGTAATATTTAACAGTGTTTAGTTACATTAAAAAATAACTTCAAAGAAAAGTAATAATTTATTTTGAAATGGACTTATTTAATTGTATTTCCAATGTCCAGTACAGAATATAATTTGTGTTTACTCTTGCCCAAATTAATAAAAATCTATTTTTTTTCCTTCGTAATGAGACCTACATTGCTAATCTCACAGGTATGAGGATCAACTGAGACAATACATGTGTCCGTCACCCAAAACAGAACACAAATGTTTATACTAGTTCTTTTTTCCATTTTGTCACTTTACTTCTCTTTCTCATCTTCTCCCTCTCTCATCTTTGCCTTTCCTTTTTTTTTTTTTTTTTTTTTTTGAGACGGAGTTTCACTATTGTTACCCAGGCTGGAGTGCAATAGCGCGATCTCGGCTCACCGCAACCTCCGCCTCCTGGGTTCTGGCAATTCTCCTGCCTCAACCTCCTGAGTAGCTGGGATTACAGGCACGTGCCACCATGCCCAGCTAATGTTTTTTTGTATTTTTAGTAGAGACGGGGTTTCACCATGTTGACCAGGATGGTCTCGATCTCTTGACCTTGTGATTCACCCGCCTCGGCCTCCAAAAGTGCTGGCATTACAGGCTCGAGCCACTGCGCCCGGCCCTTTTTCTTTATTTGTTCTCCATTTACTTTCTCTTTCAATATTTCTTAATCATGAGATAAACATTTTTCAGTTTTTGAATACTATTTTATGTCCAGTTATTAATTTTAAGAGTAATGAAGTTAAAAAGTTAGTTTTACCTGTAGGGGGCTGCTTTACTCTTGTGCATTTGTGAATTCCATTAAAGAAATGGTTTTTCCTCAGGTCTTGAAATTTCAAGGACGTTACACTGTCTTAACCATATGACTTTTTATGATCCTAAACAGAGTCCATCTAAGGGTGAGGGTCATACTTAGTCTAAAAGCTAGTAATTTCTACCCCCACCCAAAGAGACAGTATGGAATAGCCAAGGAGCTGTCATATTCTACTCAGACAGCAACAAAGTGAAATGTTAAATTAATATTTTCTCTTAGGATAAATATGACTATATCCCAATTTGTATAGCTTTATATATTTATTGTACTATAAAACACCAAACTGCATTTTTGATGCCAGAATACTGTAAGATACAGAATTGCCTTCTCAGTAAAGGAAGGAAAACTATAACAAATAATATCACTTCAGTGATAAAGTTATTTTAAATCTTTGAAAATTGGCCACTTCCAAATTACCGCATTAATTATAATTTGAGAAATACAGTTCTATTAATAATAATATTCAGATAAAGTACTAACCAGCTAGTCCTGAGGGTTGAACCTTCATCATTCAAAGTCTCTCTTACATGTAAAACTAACTTTCTTCTCAGAAAGCATGGTGTATGTACACCACAAAGCAATCTTACTTTGGTGATTAAATCTGAGAGTGTTACCACTGCCCATATCAATGACAACTAAAACATACATATGGATTACAATGTTGTCAGATGCCCTCTTGGAATTTTACATATGCTAAAATTCGAGCATTATTTTCCTCATGTTTACAGAAGTAGTTAAATATTTTATTCAAGGTTGCATACCTAGTAAGAAGTAAAGCCAAGCAGGAGTGAACATATAGGCATTCTGGTTCTAGAATTCATGCTTTTAATGGCAATGCTTAACTGCTTGCTCAATTAATATGGCTCATACTTTGTACACTCTGGATGCACAAACAATATGACAGCACACTAATAGGAAAATTAAATGTTATAAAAACTACAAAATCTCCTGGAAGATCATTTTTCAGGCTCTCAATATTAGCTGACTTTGCATGTCAAAGCAGAATGTAGAAAAAACATAATTGGCTCTCATTTAAATTGTTTTTTTTTCTGTACATACCAATGTTCAGTTAATCATAGCCTTCAATTAGCAGAACATTCCACTAATGACCATGAGGCAAAAGAGAAGCCTTATATTATTTTTTCACTATCTATATAATGTTTACATAAATCTCAGGCACATATAACTGGGAACATCTTTCTCTATGGGTGTTATCTCTCTTTAATATTCAAACTCAATATATTTTCAAAGTTTAGATTTGGTTTGTATAAGTTCTTTTATCGGTGAAATAGCTTCACTGTCATTCAGTGCAGTTTTGTAGACTAACCTGAAACGTACACGTGCCAATGACCACATAATTATTGCCACCATATGCAATTAGGTTTCCTGAATCCCCAGCCTCAAAGGGATTAAATTCTACCACATGCACATAATCTTCACAATCCACAGTGTAGGCAGCATTTCTTGAGGGATCTTGCTTCATCTTGTATGTCAAAATTCAAGCAGCTGCAAGAATTAAATAGCCTTCTACTGGACAAGGTCACGAAACTGTGGATTACAGCACAGATACAATTAGAACGGTCAAAGTATCAGTCATTCCACAAATGCATCAAAATAAGGTTGTGGTGTTACAATGAGATAGCTCAAAAGAAACATTTAAAGTACTTATCAAGGGATAAGTACTTTATTAAATCCAGTTATTAATGGTTCCACATTTGCTCCACAGCTGTTTTCCATATCTTTGATTATAGCAGACAATAACACCATAAAGCTCTGTTTAGATTATGTAAAAGAAACAGTATTCCATATTAAGATGGAATCATTTTAATAGCAAATACGTTAATAAAAATCAACGATAATCAACATTTGTGAAGCATTTGTAGGTGCCAAATTAAGCATCTTACTGACATGATTGATATCTGTACAAACATAAAAGCAGGTACTACCTCTTGTCTCCATTTTGTAGATGGAGAAACTGAGGCTTCCGTAGGTTAACTTGCCAAGCTCATAAGCAGAACCAGGATTTGCAAAAGTTCATTGTGTGTGGAGAACCAGTGCTAATGAAGAAAAACACAGCCTCCTGGCTTGAAGGAGATCACAATTTTAGGGATAGTTATGATTCAACGTGAAAAGTGCTATCATATAAACAGATACAAAATACAGGATCTGTTTAAAGGAGTGCCAAAATGTGTGATATAAAAATAATATTCAGGGGGCCAGGGAGAGGGAGAGCATCAGGATAAATAGCTAATGCATGCGGAGCTTAACAGCTAGGTGATGGGTTGATAGCTGCAGCAAACCACCATAGCACACATTTACCTTTGTAATAAACCTGCACGTCCCGCACGTGTATCTCAGAACTTAAAATTTAAAAAAATAATATTTTTTAAACTAGGCACGAGACCTTAACTAACCTGTCAAGGATTAGTGTGCACTCTGGAAGTAGCATTCCCTTATGAGAATTACGGGTTTTAGAGTTTTTGTTTTTTGTGTTTTAATTCGACACAAGGGTTGTCCTGAAAACAGTTGGGCTCAGTAACAAACATATCAAGCACCTGAAGAGTATTGAGAATCAGACGAGTCCCACCTGGAGACGCTTATAAACTAGTACCCTCAGGAATGGACATCCGGGACTGGAGACTTGTTAAAGGTGACCAGAAAGTGTTACGGACACGGAGGCAGAGAGGTATAAGAAGTGCAAGAGATTCCAGGTCAGGAAATTGTCCAGTCCCCACGACCACTGATAATTAAAGCAGTGCCCAGGGACCTCACCGTACACGTTGGGCAGGATTTGCCCCCGTGAAACCAAAGAGCAGAGAAGAAGGGAGGGAAAAAGAGAAGTCCCTGCAATGAACCCCGACACCTCTACCAGGACCAGGCGAGTTCCACAAGACCCCGCTCCCTCCTCCCGGAGCCCAAGGCGGGACAGAAGATCTCCCGGGGATAGAGTGGCAGGGCGGGACGGCCGGCAAAAAACCGTCGCGGCCTCCTGAGGCTCCCCGCACGATACGCACCGCAGAGCGCCGGGAAGCGACCAGAGGCAAGCTGGTCTCGGATGCGGGCGGCCGCGACGCGCGCCGGCTCTGCTTCCGGGTCGGAGGGCGAGCGCAGCGATTGGCTTCCGAGGCCTCCCGCGAGGTTTGAAATGTACTCGGCTGCTACTGCGGCGGCAGCGGTGGAGGGGCGGTAGGTGGGGGATCTTTCTGCACACTCTAGCTTGCGCCTTCGGGTGTACCCGTAACCAGGTAAGTCTTGCGTTTGTCCCACCTGTCCTGTCGCATGTTTAAGCGGCGATTCAGGCTGTACTTTTCGAGGGTGCTTTGCACAATAATATCTCGGTCGTAGCAAAGTGCAGTCCGACCGAGGTATTAAGGTGCAGTGACTTCGCCCTGGAGCTCTGGTTGGGCTGGGGGGTGTAGGTGGAGTTCACGGTATCTAGCGATGGAATTGCAAGGCCCTGAAGGTTCGTCTGCAGCTTGTAAGACAGGCCCATAGTCGCCTGCTTAACTTCCATTAGTTAGGCAGGAAACCAGGGTTCTAGTCCCATGATGTACTCAGACTCCAACTTTCCCCTTACTCAACTTTCCCCTACCCCTGATTAAAGCCTCCCAAGGAACCTTTGGGACTTGCGCTCTAACACTGATAATGACTTCGAGTGCCATTTTAAAATTGAGCACCTACTAAATGCCTGGCACTAGGTGGGTTATGTACTTGTTTCACTAACATCTCATTATTCTGTGAGGTAGGAATTCCCTTCCTGGTTTTGCAGGTGAAGAAACTTGTGCTCATCAGATTTTAAATACCATAAATGGGGGAGCCTGGAAGCGAACCCTGTGGTATCTGACTTGAAAGTGTAGTTCTTTCAACCATTTCACACTGCCTGCCCAGTGACAATTTTCTGTCTCACAGTTTGTGTTCTAGAGCAGCTTGGAATCCAATTTTTTTTTTTTAAAAAAAAAACAAGTGTTTATTATCGCTGCTGTCTTTTGCTACCTGTTTTTTGTATGGTGAAGCCTGCCATTCAGAGTGCTGGCATATTTATTGTCTCATTGACTCACAGCGGACTGGAATGTGAGTATTTCTGTGTGATGATGCCTCCAACTAGGCAACCATGGGTAAGGCTTATCCCATAGGCTCCCACAGCCAGCTAGCTACAGGAAAAGCGGGCTAGACCAGGGGTTGGCAAACTAGCTGTGCTGCCTGTTTTTGTGCAGCCATCTCCTGAGCTAAGAATGAGTTTTACATGTTTGTGTGGTTGGGGAACAAAGAGGAAAAGAATAATGTTTTGTGATTTGTAAAACTTACATGAAATTCAAATTTTAGTGTCCATTAAAAAAGTTTTCATGGAGCACAGCTATGCTCATTTGTTTGTTTGTGTGTGTCCGTGGCTGTTTTCACACTACAGGTCAAAGTGAGTAGTGTTATGCCTCAAATATTTATACTGTTTTTTCCTTTCCAAAAAGTTAGCTGATCCCTGAATGACACTCTTGGTTTTCTGTCACCCATAGTAATGCTTTGGTGTTTTTTTTTTTTTTAAATATATATGTATATAAGATGGAGTCTTGCTCTGTTGCCTAGGCTGGAGCGCAGTGGTGTGATCTTGGCTCACTGCAACCTCCACCTCCCGGGTTCAAGCGATTCCCCTGTCTCAGCCTCCCGAGTAGCTAGGATTATTGGTGCATGCTACCACACCCAGCTAATTTTTAGTAGTTGGGGTTTCACCGTGTTGGCCAGGCTGATCTCAAACTCCTAATCTCAGGTGACACACAAGCTTCGGCTTCCCAAAGTGCTGGTATTACAGATGTGAACCACCGTGCCTGGCCAATGCTATTTTACTTTTAACTCAGAACAACTTAGAAACTCATAATGCATAATAATAGCTAATGTGCTTTTATGCGTGCCAGGCACTGTTCTAAAAGTTTTACTTGTGTTTACATTGTTTATAAAACCCTATTGGATCGGGTTTTCATTTTCATTATGAGGAAGTTGAGACAGGGAAAGGTGATGTAACTCGGCCAAGATCTCACAACTAGTAAGTGGTGGAGCCACATTTCAGAATAGTCTAATTCCCAAGTAAGTCTTCATTCATAGCAATCAAATCTCATAATACTACCTTGAAATAATAGCAGTAAGTAATTTACTCCTAAAGATTTATTTTAGGAGTAATACCCAGACTATATACCCATATACCAAACATATACCCAGACTATAAATCTTGGGTATATAAAACATTGGCACTACCTACCTCCAATTATTTTTGAAAGACTTTTGTGTGCATCAGGAGAAGTTATTTAGCATGCTTTAAGAAGACATCTTGGGTTTATGCTGTTTGTCCATTTATAAACTGAGTGACATGGGATATTATTTTAGGTAAAATGAGGGTAATAATACGTCTGTCTTATGAGACATTTATGAGAATTGAATGAGGTAATCAATGTTAAGCTTTCAAAAAGTATCTGACACCAAATAGGCTCCTATTAGCTATTTTATTGGTTTTGTAATACTGTGTAACAAACCACTTCAAAAGTCACCGTTTTTAAATACCCATTTGCTTATGATTCTGTGGATCAGCAATTTGGGCAAGACACTGCTAGGTGATATTCTAGTGGTCACACAGAACACAATTCCTCCAGTAACAGGTTGTGACAACACATGTGAAATGTCTACTAGGGAAGCTTATTAGAGGTTCAGTGCCCAGGGTTTTTATTGGGGGCTGAACATAAAGGCATCCATTGTCTGACATGTACCAAAATTTCAGACTCAGAAGGAAAGCAAGTGTTTAACATAAACTATATTGTTTGTATGAACAGTTTAGCACAGTGAGCCACTCTTACTGGAAATGCTTCTGAAATCTAAGTTCCTGGACTGGACTCCAGCTTCAAAGAGGATAGCATTGAGGCCTATTGTGTTAATACTTATGCAACACACCACTTAAGGCCTAAGCTCAGAACTCCCGCAGCATCATTCTTGCCACATTCTGTTGGTGAAATCGAGTCACAAGGCTGGTCCATATTCAGAGGGGTAGATAAATAGACCACCTCTTTTGGGACAATATGGGATGGGAGGAAATTGGCTTTTTTTTTTTTTTTTTTTTTGCAATCTATCAGATATTATCTATCCTCAAAACAATTATACGTATTTAAATACAGCTTTAGATGTGTTTGTCTGTAATTACAAGTTTGCAATAAATTTGCATATCTTGTGTGAATTTTCAGAAGTAAAGCCTGGATTTTGTTTTTTCAAAAGATTTGGCTTAAGAAACTAAAGGCGAGGAAAATATGATTGTGCAGAAATTGTATTATTTTATTTTCCTAAATTTAATTAAAAGCAATCTTGGTAAATATGAAATGACCTCTCATTCACTGTATATTTTTCTTTATCTGTGCTCGCTTATACATGTTAAATGTTAATTTCCAGTTAACATAAGGTACTTTAACTTTGTATTCTGTCCTACTTTAAGATAATGGCTGTGCTTAATCAGAAGTCTGTCTTGGATATGATTAAAGAGTTTCGAAAGAATTGGCATGCTCTTTGTAACTCTGAGAGAACTACTCTATGTAGTGCAGACTCCATGCTCTTGGCACTGCAGCTTTCCATGGCAGAGAACAACAAACAGGTTGGTAAACTATATTTAGGTTAACTTGCGTTTTTAAAGCAAAATTTCATTGCTGACCATTTGAATAAACTTAAGCCTAAGAATATTAATTTCTTTATAATATGTGCCCTTCTATGATAATACACTATTTTCACAAGTGCCTCTATATATCTGTGTCAAAATATTACAATTGAATTTGAAATGAATTATTTCAAAATTAAGCCCTTCCCATGTATAATTATACATGGGATATGCACATTCGATGTTTAATAGGAAGACTTAGGATAAACATGTAACCATTATTATGGTGGTCAAATTATTTTTATGTAATAAGACTTCCTTTGTTCCCTAAACTTTTAAAAACTACTGGCTCTTATATCTCAATCCTGGAAATACTCCTAATCTGCACTGAGATGCTGGAAACTGCCTTTAAAAAATCTCCACGCAGTGATTCTTACTTAGGTAGCTTGAGCCAAACTAGTGGTTGGAATTAAGCCCTAGCTAAAGGGCTGGAGGTGTTCAGATGACAGAAGGATAATGTAGCATAGAGTGGTAAGGGGAGGATTTGTGATATTAGATAGATTTTAGATTAGGAAGAGAAGGCTGTAGAGGAGGGATGATGAGGAGGGTTAGTTCAGAAGAAGGGTCCAGGGGAATCAAAGTTATAGTTTGAATTTGGTAAAGTTACTGGCTTGACCAGAGAAGAGGATTTTTGAAGGGTGGAATTAGTTTCAATTCTAGGTCTTTTGGTCTAGATATTGAAATTACATTCTGATGAGTTATTTTAATTTTATGTCAGTAGTTTCCAGATTTTTAGATTCCATAGACCAGTAAAATTTCTAAAAAAGTATTAGACACTGACAGATTTTAACCATTTCTCATTTTGGCAAATAGGCCCATTGAGAAAAAATAGTTACTATATACTATGATCATCATTTTGTAAAAGGAAGAGTATTTTAACAGTTAAGAATTAAAAAGTGTAAAATCTTAAAACAGGGATGGTCTTTTCTACCCATGAATAGTTGGCAGTTTTGCATATTTTAAACACTGCATGTTAAGATAATTTTTGAATATCTAAAAAAATGACAAAATGTTATTTTACTTTATGTAGTCATTTTTTGAATGAATATTGTATTTTTACTGTGTGTTAGACATCATTGTAAAAATTGGAACTATAGTAATGAAAGAAGTCTGTTCTTATATAGTTAAAACTTTCTGGGAAAAGACAGTACTGTAAGATATTTAGTCTTTTGGGACATAATAAATGCTACAGAAAAGAATAAATCGGATGCAGCAACTAAGGAATATGCAGAGTTCGGGGTGAAAGTGTTGTTGGAATTTGAAATAGGATGTTCAGGGAAGGCCTTATCTGGAAAGTACCATTTAAGCAAAGATTTGAAAGAGGGGAAGGCATTAGACATGAGGATTTTTATGGGAAGGGACTACCTCAGGCAAAGGGAGGAGCCGGTGCGGCGGACCTGAAGTGGGACTATGCCTGACA